ACACACACACATGCATGTATACATATCCGCCCCCAGGCCGAAAGAGTCGCCTATCAAGTACCCGAAGCCCGTGCAGACCGAGATCGTGGAGGACAAGCCGCCGCAAGGTGATGATGATGACGATAATGATGATGAGGGGGGTGAAATGGAGGAAGAAGAGAAGCAGGAGAATGACCCTGCAGTAGATCCTTCGGAGGCACAGGAAGGTTCCTGGGCTCATTCTAGCTACTTGTGCTACCCTACGAAAGGAACTAACAACACCCGAAACCCCAAACTTCCAGACCCTAACCCCAGAAGCCTCTACAAAAGCCTCTGCCCTAAACCCTTAAACCCTAAACTCTATACCTTAAGCCCTAGAGCAACCCTAAACCCTGCTCGCTCAGGCTTCACTCGGCTTGGCACGGCTGCTACTGAGTTGCTTGCCGACGAAAACGAGGATGATTTGAAGTGAGACCTCGCTGCACGGCAGAGTGATTCCGGGTCTAGATGTTTACGCAGTTCTCTACACTATATATGTACTTACAGCAACTTCTTTTGCTATTTGTGCATCATGGTAGAGTTTGGGTGGCCGTGCCGGCTTGGTTTGCTGAGTCGTTGCAGCAGCTGCGAGGACGGAGCTCTAAATCAACGGAGAACAGGGGCCCTAACTGCCTAACCCGGCGATAGATATGGTCCGCTGCTTGTGCAACATACTAGTCTTGACACTAAAGAACACGTCTCCGTCGTCCGCATGCAGCTTGCTGATTTTGCTTACGATTTGTAATGTAGCAGAATGACACATTCTGCTGCCATGGATTTGTAATGCAGGATGAGCTTCGAGGCTTCTGGGATGACTGCAGGGTTTAGGGTTTTAGGGCTTAGGGGTTTAGGGTTTTGGGGGTTTAAGGTTTCGGGCTTAGGGTTTAGGGTCATGTGTGTTCATTTGGGCTATATTTCTTATCCTAAAAGAACGGAGGGCTCGAGGCCCGCATAGGTCTTTTGGGGCATGTTCATTTACATGTGCATTTAGATCCTACAGAACATAGGGCTCGAGGCCCGCTGTACAAGAAATAGGTTTCTAAGATCCCAGAAGCCCCGCTGAATCATCCTCCGCCCACGCCCCGCTTGATGCAGTGCATGGTCGCTTCCATCGATCGTCATCTGGACGCAGCAGTATACGCCAGCAGTCGAGCCACGATATCCTTAGATCAGCGATCGAGCCACTGTGGTATAGTGGACATCAGCTGCTCGATCGGGCTTCAGGTTGAGCCACCTAGCTTCTCCTAGTGTTGTATCCAGAATTGGAACCCACCCTCTATGAAATTTTACATTCTATTAACTGGATCCTGATATTCGGGCCTTTACGGTTTCTTCAAAGCCTAAACCCTAAAGCTACCCTATATAAGTTTTGGTAAAATCCTCCCAGCTGAAACCTACGCCCAGCCTGGTAGGATCTAGAATCTCGTTCCAGTGCTACAATCTGCTATTGTTGGATCTAGAAGTAGAACCTCCTGCTATGCATTCCTGTATTCTACTAACTGGATCCTGTAATTCACGCTGTGTTTACATATACTCT